CTGTAAACCGCTTAGAGAGGGCTGAAAGCCCTATGAAGCGGTATATAAGTCTAACGGCTATTGCTATTGCTAATGGGAGGAAGAGATCACATTTGCACCAAACAACTTTAAATCTCCCGACTCTTCCCCAAAATCCTCTCTCTGATTTGGGAACCTCATTCCTGGCAATACAAAACTTTGACTATTTGCACAAACGCAAAGGGACGGGACAACCTTTTGAAAAACAAACAACAGACCGAAACCGTAGCCAACAATTGACGTGCAGGAAATTCAGGCAACCGGAGTTGGACAAGCGGTTGCAAACAGTTAAAAGTTGTTTACATGTAATTGAGCAGAAGATTAAAAAGAGTTTTGTTAAGCAAACACATTACTTAAATACCCAAGTGTGACTCATCCAGCCAATTGCCGCGATAACGCTTACCGGGCCACGAATGTTTTCGGAGAATAAAGGTGGGCGTTCCGGGAAACAGGACAGAATAAACTGGATTAGCACCAAAGCGAAGTAGATGTAGAAAGTGGTATAGCGAAAGACGTCTATTTCCGCATCCTGGGGAGGAAAATAAGAATGTGCCACTTAGGGAGATTTGTGGAAATTGCCCTGGGAATATCAGCGCCTTTTCCCCCAATAAGAGAATTCAGGGTTGTCCAAAGAGTAAACTTTGGTTGAGGCTGCCCAGGCGCTAAATTCATCGAGGGGGACTCACTGCTACGAGATGCACATTGTGCTTGCTTCACCGCACTGAGCGTTTCGTTTTGAAAAGCCCACAGCAAAGTCTTCGAGTGAACACCAAGAAACACCAGCTCTGGCCACGGGGTGGGCAGAGGGGTCCTTCTTCCCAGAGAATGGGTCAGCTCAAAGGGAAGCCTGGTCAGTCTCAAAACCCCAAGGGGTCAATTTCCAGCCTCCGAAGCCACAAGACCCCTGAGCATTAACCCCAGCCTCACTCGTTCAGCTGCCCCTCCAGCTTGCCAAGGATTCTGCCCAAAAGAAGCTGGCACTCACCGGGCACAAGGCGTGCATAGTTTTGGATCTGAATACGATGACTGCACACAGGAATGCAATCAGCCAGAAAAGGAGCATAACCCCCGAGGACTGGGCTCCTTTGATCCTCTCGTACTGTATCAAAAACGTGGCAAGCAGCTACAGAGAGGGAAGTCAAAAGGACAGACTGTTACCGCCTGTGAGGGCTCCGGGATCACAGCTGCTGACTCCGCTCTGGAACTGGAACAGGCGAGGTCTGAGATTCGCTTCCCAGGGTGAGGGCAACGCAGCCGCCATCAGCCACGCAGACGGTTGCAAGGGAGAAAGTCTGACGGATAAAATGCGTGAAGCCCAACAACCCAACTTACTCACCATTGTAATGCCCAAAATGGTAGGGCTGATTAAAAAAACTGGAGCTCGAACAACGTGGTGATTTCTTTCCCAGAAAGAGTAGAAAAGGTCTGTCCAGCAGACGAGCCACAGGAAGAGGCCCAAGGCCTGCAAAAGAAGAGAGGACGGGCTCTTCCTCTGGGCAAATCCCTCCCCCCAAGCAAGGACCCAGGAGGCCCCCAGAAGGGCAGGCAAGCAAAGGCTGAAAACCGCCATTCAAGTCAATCGGTCCCCCAATTCCCCTGCGCAACGCAGTCCCACAGGAGAGGCCCCTCTCTTCAGGGTTCCAAGCCGGGGGGGGGGGAGTTGTACGCCAAAGAAGCCCCTCCAGCACCCCCCCACCCCCCAAGCACGAGGGCAGCGATGGTGAAACCTTTTTGGCTTGCATGCCATAAGCAGGGGGAGCGCAGGGGGGTTATATGTGGGCGGTCCACACCCATAATGCAATGCGCGACGCACACCCAAGCGCACATGCGTGCATGACAGGTGCTCCCCCCCATTTGTTTTCATGCTTTTTTCGCCCTCCCCAGGCTCAAGAGGCTTTATAGGAGCCCGGGGAGGGCAAAAAACAACCCTACGAGCAAACCGGAAGCCACTCCCAGGTTGCTTGTAGGGCTGATTTTAGCCCTCCGGAGCGTTCAGGAGCTCTCAGGAAGCTTCCCCGAAGGCTCCGGAGGACAAAAAAGGACCCTACGGTCCTCCCGGAGCCTTCAGGGAAGCCTCCGGAGGGCTTAAACCAGCCCTATGAGCAAACCGGAAGTCCATTCCTGAATTTCCGGTCTGCCCATAGGGCCGTTTTTTTGCGCTCCGGAGGCTTCAGGGGACTCAACTTGCCCGCGTGGC